AATTAAAAAGAAAAAAATCCCAAATCAGAAAACCCTGTAAAACAAGCATTTCACATCAGGGATACTCAACCTATAAGTGTTTTGTAAATGTTTTCTCCTATTTGAGGGCTAATTTTTCCATTCCTGGGAGTGTCTGCACTGCTGTAGCTATATGCTGAGTGGGCGCCCCAAAGGTTTCCATGCTGGACTCTCAGTCTCCCTCCTCCTACTCTCCACCCTCGCTCTCCTCTGCCTACCAGCTACAGGCACAGATGCTGCTGCTCAATCTTGGACTTTCAGCCTGTAAAACCATGAGCTAAATAAACCCCATAAAGCATCCAGCTTTGAGTATTTTGTTACAGCAACACGAAAATGGACTAATTCAGTGTCCTTTGAAGTATAAAATATAATTAAAGTTTTTCTTTGGCTGTTTGTGTACTAATTTTCAAGGAAGAGACTAAAGGCAAAAGCTTGTGAGGATATCATCCATACGCAGGTTAAGTTCAGTCAGGTCAAAAGAACTGACCATTCATTTAGACCATGAATTCCAATTTAGGTAACACACTTACTCATCACTATGTTTTTAACTAACTAGGTTTTCAGATTAAGTATTTGACCTTTGAATGCCAAGTATCCAAGAAATGGCAAAGAAATATAATTCTACCCAGGTTTGTACATTTTCAGTGGTATTTAATTCAGAGCATCTGAATTTCAGTCTTTACTAGAGCTCGATTTTTTTTTTTAACAAACTAAGGCATATTTTAAAGATATGTTTTATTTTTTATGTGTATGAGTGTTCTGCCTATATGTATGTAGGTGTACCACATGTGTTCCTGGTGTCCCCAGAGGCCAGCAGTGGCCATTGAGTACCCTGGAATTAGAGTTAAAGACAGCTGTTAGCTGCCATGTGGGTGCTGGAACCAAACCCAGGTCCTCTGCAAGTGAGTGCTCTTCTCAGCTGAGTCATCTCTCCAGCCCCCACATTTAAACTATTTTTAAAAAGAGATTTTTAAACTATTTTTTTTGCAATTCTGCAATTTAAAAATCAGCATGGATAGCCTTAATGCTCTATTACTGTTTCATAAATATTGAAGAGACAATATATAATCCCAAACAACAAACTGGGATTATGTAATTTCCCAATGTAATACTCCCAAAGAATCTATTATGATCATAGTAATTTTTCTAACCAAACAAAGTCAGTCTTTAGTATCCTAAAAAAGTCATTCAATGCCTCTAGTGTCCTTCATTACATTGAAGCAACTTTCTGATTTTTTTTAAAAAAAGGGCTTTTTCAAAGCTTTTTCAGTGCTGACAGCTGCATAACAATATACACATATTTAATGTCGCAAGCTGCACACTTAAAAATGGCTAAAATATAGGTTTTAGAACTGAATATTTAACAAAAGTTTTTTAAGAAGCAGGAGAGATAGATGCTCAGCAACAAAGGTGGTTCAGTGGTTAAGAGCACTGCATACTCTTCCGGAGGTTCTGAGTTCTGCTCCCAGCACCATCCCAGGTGGCTCACAACTTCTTTTTACTCTCCAGTTCTTCTGGAACCTGCACACATATGGCACACGTATACACACATGAATAGAAACGGGGTCGGGGGGTTAGAGACATGGCTCGGGGGTTAAGAGTGTGTGCTGCTCTCATAGAAGATTGGAGTTCAGTTCCCAGCAACCAAGTTGGGAGGCTCATAATCTCTTGTAACTCCAGCTCCAGCGGATCTGACACTCTTCTAGCTTCCAAGGGAAACTATGCTCACATGCAAGTACACACATATACTTATGTGTGTGTGTATACACACAAATAAATAATAAAACAAATCTTTTTTAAAAAGTAAGAAAAGAGTTGCTGAGATGGTTCAATGGGTAAAATCATTTACCACAGAAGCCTAACAACCTAAGTTTGGGAGTTACTCAAGAAAAGGCAGGAGACAACCAACTCTTGAAAACTGATCTCTGACCTCTATAACTCCCATGGCACGCACACCTACACACATATCATACACACACACTAATAAATAAAATTTAAAAATTTAAAGTATAAGAAAAAATAGTGAACAAGACAGAGAATCCAAGACAAATAAACCAATCTGAGTACCAGTTTGAGTAACTGTTGACAGACAACATCTGAACTTTCAGAAAAACCTGAGTGACTGGGGAGATAGTTTAGTTGCTAAAGTGCTTGCAGTGCAAACATAAGAAGCTGAGTTCAATCCACAACACCCATGTAAAACGTCAGATGCGGTGGCATGCGACTGTAACCTCAGTACTGACCAAGCAGAGAATAATAGTTCCCTGGAGCTCACTGGCCAGCTAGTGTAGCCTAGTCAGTGAGACTTTGTCTCAAAAAAGAAGGTGGATGGCTCTCAAGAAACAACATCCAAGGTTGACTTCTAGCCTTGCATGTGTACCTACACACACACACACACACACACACACGCACACACACACACACACAGAGAGAGAGAGAGCGAGATGCACAGAACATATATAAAACAAAAAAAAAAAAAAAAAAAAAAAAAAGAAGAGGAGGAGGAGGAGGAGGAAGCTAGGGAGGAAGAAGGGAAGGCTGCTGGCATTCACAAACCAACAAAGACTAAAATGGCTCTGCAAAGGGCAGAAGAGACAGGTCACCCTGGAAGGATGTTAGCCCACCATACAGACACATAGCTCTTTAATATACAAGGATCTCCTTCCTACTTCCTAAGACCTAGGTTGCATCCAAATGTAATTGTATTTCTATAACCCTGGCTCCTCCTAGAGAGAAAATGAATCATTTTCTTCAAAACACATAGACCAGTGTCGTTTAAATAGGAATTAAGTGAATGCCAATATTTTGGTGTTTAGGACAGGACAAATACCCATGAGAAACCCGCAATGTGCCTCTTTGTTCTAGTTTGTTTCTCCATTGCTGTGACAAAATACTCTAACCAATACCAACTTGGGGATGAAAGGATTTATTTGTCTTACATATCCCGGGTCACAGTTCATCAGGGAGCCCAAGGTAGGAACTCAGGGCAGGAACCTGTTGGCAGGAGCTGGAGCACAGGCCATGGAGGAACACTGCTTACTGGCTTACTCCTCTGGCCCACACGCAACTTGCTTTCTTATACAACACAGGCCCACCTGCCTAGGGGTGGCACCACCTACAGTGGGCTGGGCCCTCCCACATCACTCAATAAT